TATAGTTTTCTTTTTAAAAACTGTGATGCTCTGAGGGAAGGAGGGTTCTGATCTCTTCTACTACTCTGCTCCAGAAATCAAGGGTCTTCTTTAACAGACAACAGTCTCAATCTACTGTATTTGTGTTTGTGTGTGTGTGTGTGTGTGTGTGTGTGTGTTTTAAGTATATTTTTATTGATTTCAGAGAGAAAGGGAGAAAGAGAGAGAGATAGAAACATTAAAGATGAGAGAGAATCATTGATAGGCTGCCTCTTGCATGCTCCACACTAGGGATTGAACCCACAATCTGGGCATGCCCTGACTGAGAATTGAACTGTGACCTTCTGGTTCATAGGTCGATGCTCAACCACTGATCCATGTCAGTCAGGTGCAATCTACTGTTCCTAATTTGGAAAAAAAAATATCAAAAAACCTTTCCCTTTGTCTTTTATTAATTTGGATAGATAATTTTTGTTTATTTTGTGTATGTGTATATGTGTAACACACATATACATACATGTATGGAAATTGCATATAGATAGAGCAAGAGAGCAAGCTTGATTTATGAACAAAAGAGCTTTATACATGGTTTTTGTAGACTTACACATTCCCCTTCTTCATTGCAGATATTCAGATCAACTCTAGGAAGGAGCACAGGGACCTTATTTAAGAACAATAGACACAAATATGTTACCACCATTTTTCCTTCCTATGAGGAGTCTTGATATGTTGTTGTCAAGGAATGCTTGAGATGAGAAATATAAATCACCCTGCCTTCAGTGTAAACGGGGGAATTATAGACTCAGACAGAACAATTGGACTCCAGGGACTATCTAATCCAGTGGCCAGATAGATCAGCAGGAACCTGTTTCTTCTGAAATGACTCAGTTCTCATGGTGGCCATTCCCTATGAGGTGGAGTCCTCTGAGAAGCAGATGCCAAGAGGGGATTAGACAGTGTGCTGATTTGGTTCTCCATGTGTCAATGTCAACTCAGGCCCTGTGTTCAAGGCCCTCAAAATGTCAGCTATTCCTCTTCTCCCAGTGTCCAGTCACCCTAGTAAATTGTTATAGGTCCCTTTGGGGAAGGACTTGGTGAATCATTATATTTTATTTTTGAGACAGTGTTGTGGAGTCCCTTCTAAAATATGGCTACCTCTCTAGTCAGTGTGCTCTGGATCTGAAAAGTGGCTCAAGTTTGGGAACTGTGGAAGGGATCATGACTTATTATTGGGGCTGTTGCCCTCAGCCTCCTGCCTTCCATTATGAATGCTAAATAGCACCTTGCTGGCTGCGCCTCTCTTTTGCTCTACCAACCATCTCCACTCCCCACTAGGGATCAAGTTATTATGGCAACTGTGGCCTTCTGGCTTCTTGTATTCAAGCACCATAGTTGGCCATAATTACTTTGGAGGCTCTATCATTCTGATTGGATGTGTGGAGCCCAGATCCATAATTGCTTCTATCGTCAGTCCTGGCCAGCATCCGAGAGCCATCACTGAACTTCTTGGTGACACTAGTGTGCCACTTAGTGACACCCTTTCCTGAAGGCCTTTGTGGACGGTATTTTCTCTGGACCCTGTCCTAGAACATAATCATCTGGTGGTTTTTTGGCCTCATGTAATATATCTACATCAGTAGGCCCAATTCTCTAGCCTTTGTACTCCTTCCTATCCTTCCTGCCTGGGCAACTCAGGAATTCCTACTTTCCTCTGTGTTGCTCATAACTTTCTTTCAACTTTGAAGAGCCACCCTAATGGTGAGTTTGCCCCCATCCCTGAGGGCTTGCCAGGACATTAAATCTCATGTCCTACAAAAGTACCCCCAAGTCAATGAACTCTTGCTTATCCAGTTTAACATTCTAGAACCTTGTTCAAGCACCCTCACAGTTCAGTATCAATGGTATTCATTGGCAGAAGCCAATACAAACTAATTATACTTTAAAATATAAAGTATTTCTTCTCTTATCAGGCCCAGCATATCTTCAGCTGGATTCTACTGGGATTTAACTGTTATTGGCCTACAGGCCTGCAGAAGAGGCAGGGGACACCTGTTCAGAGACCCTTGCTTTCTAGCACACAGGGAGGCCACTTCTCCAAGCTCTGAGTTTTCAGAGGGACCTGCAGAGTCAGCCTTGCATCCCTAGGAACATCCACCCATGCACTGATCAAAAGGCACCAGTGTCAGTAAGAAGTTCGGTATCTTCTTTTTTTAATCCTCACCCAAGGATATTTTTCCATTTTTGTTTATTTACTTACTTTTTTGTTTGTTTTCATATTTTTATTTATTCAGAGAGGAAGGAAGATAGAAACATTAATGAAGAGAGAGAATCATTGATCGGCTGCCTCATGCATGTCCTCCCACTGGGGATCAAACCCAGAACCTGGGCATGTGCCCTTGACTGAAATCGAACCTGGGACCCTTCAGTCCACAGGTTGATGCTCTATCCACTGAGCCAAACTGGCTAAGGCTCCATGGATTTTTAGAGAGAGTGGAAGAGAGGGGGAAAGACAGAGAGAAATATTGATGTGAGAGAAACACATCGATTGGTTGCCTCCTGCATGAGTGTCAACCAGGGCCAGGCCAGGGAGGAGACAGCAACTGAGGTACATGGCCTTGACTGATATCAAACTCAGGACACTTCAGTCCTCATGCCAACACTCTATCCACTGAGCTAAACAGGCTAGGACAGCAGTATCTCTTCTTTACCAGCTGAAACTGACAGTAGAGGCTGGGCTCATTAATATCTATGGTGATAATGAGGTCCCCAAAGTAATATGGGCCAGGTGGTGGCACTTAAACACAGAAACCATGTTTCCAGGTCCCCAGTTTCCTAACCAGAACTCTGGCCTCAACATAAGACCTGCCTGACTATTCATGTAAATGTTTCTGGAGTTCTCTATCAGGCCCTCAATCTGCTGCTTAGCTTTGTCCACTCTTCCATTATAAGGGATAAGGGCTACCAAAGAGGCCCTCTGGATTTCACCCTTACTCTTTGACTGCTAGTCACTGGCCCTTGGTTTCTCATTACCTCTGCAGAGCATCAATACAGCTCTATACCTAACCAATTCTGTTGTTTTTGTAGGCACTGCTTCACCATTCTTTCAAAGGATTGAATTATTATACCTACCAGGGCAAACTTATCTCCACTAGTTCATTTCCTAAGCGGAAAACATTTCACCACCAGTGAAATTTTTAGCAATTCAGCTGTCATCTCTTTTCAGGGACTATCCATACTCCACATATTGCTCAAGATGGCATCTTCTTTATCTATTGAATAATAAGTGGATCAGTCTCAAAGCTTTATCTTACCTCTTGTTTTCTCAGAACATTTCTAGTAGCATTTGTATTAGTTTTTGTCCTTCAAGAGTCAGCTGCCAAGTCTGGTTGGCATGGGTCAGTGGTTGAGCATTGACCTATGAACCATGAGGTTATGATTCGATTCCTGGTCAGGGCACATGCCTAGGTTGCACACTCGATCCCCATAGCAGCCGATCAGCGATTCTCTCTCATCATCGACGTTTCTCTTTCTCTCCCTCTCCTTTCCTCTCTGCAATCAATAAAAATATTTAAAAGCAAACAAAAGAGTCAGCTGCTAACATGATTAGGAGTGCCAGAGGGAGAGAGAGTCTACACAGGTCCCTCCATTGCCAGCTTCAGAGCATTTGAAATGGTGAGCACCTCTGAGGATTGGCCCATCCATCTCCTCCAGTTGGCCCATTGTCCTTGCTCTGCTCATGTCTGTCTAACTGACTATCACATCCCCTCAAGGATCTTGGCTCTGATTTCTTTCAGGGAAAGGGGGTGTCGGTGTCTCTTAACTGCTTCCTTGCTGAGGAGGGATGCAGGTTTCTCTTAGAGCCAAGAGATTCTTTCTCTCTGTCAGAGGGAAGATGAGGCCTGAAAGGAGGTGGGATTGTAACCTGGTGGAGACAAACTGTGTTATAATATTTAATATTATTGAGCAAAAATTAGAACAGCAAGGATTACAACAAATGATCTGGTGGAAGGAAAAATATTTCAGTTATAATATTTTTAACACGTTCATTGGCTATTTGGATTTGCTTTTCTGTAAGTGAACATTTCACATCTCTTTTCCATTGTCCATTATTTATTTATTTTTTTTGGTCCTTTTCTTGGCGGTTTATAAAAACACTTTTCATATTATAGCTAATAGCCCTCCATCTCAGCTCTGCATTGCAAACAGGGACAGAAATAGCAGTCTGGAACTCTTCACATTCTTCCCCTTCTTTATCTTTTTCAACAGTACAGCGTCCATAGTCTTTGGGGTATAGTCTAAATCAATATGCCAGGAGTGTCATGGGACAACTGCATTGTTCATTTTTAAAAAACAAAACAAGGTAGGCCCTGGTCAAGGACAAGTGTCCACGCCCTGTCCCACCCACCCCTATCCCCATCCCCAACCCCATCCCTATCCCTACATTGAGGCAATATTGTTCTAATTTTAGTCATTCTGGAATCATCTGCACCATTCTGCTTTATCCTTTAAAATATGTACTACTATTTATAGTTCTGAAACTTTAGATGTTGCCAGTATTTCATTATAACTACTACTTACATGTTTCTGATACACTTAAAAAATAAATTCACAGCTATGGAAATTAAAAAGAAAACATCTTTCTGCATACCACTTAACATACACCAAACTTTGGGAAACTGGTGTGAGCATGCCATCAGGCCACAGAGAAGTCAAGGACAAGATCAAGGATATACAGAGTTTCAGGACCTCTCCCCTTAATGGCACAGCTGGAGGATAGGTTCGTTTACCCCTGAGGAAAACAGCACAGAAAGGTGAAAAGCTTACACATAATTGAGTTCCGAAAATTAGAATCCAGGCATTTTTCCAAAAACAACGCGATAGCAACAATCCATCAAGTCCCGTGGTCAGGACTCTAGTTAGGCCGAGCCCCGTGCACACTGGGATTACATTATGAACATTCTGTGTTCTGGCCAGAACATTAGGAGTGCTAAGGTTCTGTGAAGTATGCAGGGGTCCAGCGTTTAGAAGGAGCTGCCTCAGGACCCCGGGCTGTGACAGACCACAGTCTCTGAGCGGGGTCTGCCAGTCCAATCTGGAACCTGGGTCCCAGTGGCTGGAAACCGGTGGAACCCAGGCCTGAGGAGCCATGTGCTGGCTGCGGGCCTGGAGCCAAATTCTCCTGCCAGTTTTCCTCTCTCTCCTTCTCATCCAACTTCTCATCAGCTTCTCAGAGAAGGGTTTTTCTCACATCTCCAGACACAGGGGCAAGCATAGACAAAAATCTTCGGACTATGAAGGTGAGCCACCCCAAACCCAGAGGCCATGCCCCATAGCGCGACCCGCCCTCTCTCCTCTTGATCCCTGGTGCCAACTGGCAGGATATTTTCATCTCGAAAATTACCATTTGATGTTGGAGAGAAAACACATCCAAAGGCTCCTGACATTTTGGGTGACATCCAGTTAAATTGCTCTCGAAATAATTTGTCTTACATGAAATGAAAAAAAAAAAGTGGATTAAAATAAATAGTTTTAAATTTGGGAGAGCAGGCCCCTCACCTCACTTTCCACATGACCTACATAGCCCATAAGCTTTGTGCTGTGCATATGCTGTTGGTTTTTGTTCTAATAGGACTTCACTCAGTGGCCATCTCTACCTTCCTAAAGTGTTTTAAGGTCTTCGTTAATAAGTTGCTTACTTTGGGTCTTATCTTAAGAAATAATTGCTTTGGTTTGGAGACTTCCCTTGGCTCTCCGCTCCAACTGAAGACATTTTGCAACATTCAAAACCATGCCAAGTAGAATTCCTGAGCTCCGAAGTACAGATTTTAGAATCTTAAATTGGAATTGTATACATAGAATGAGGACAAAATTTGAATTACTTGGAGAATGCCCTGCAAAGCCAAGATTGCCATTTTTATGGAGACTGTAAGACAGAATAATTACTACTGTCTGGCTTTCCGGAGTCTAAAAGAATGTTAAGATCTGTTAGCAAATCAGTCCTCCTTAGAAAAAACACACCCAGAGCTCTCAGCTTTGAGAGGAGGGGGGTGGGGAGAGGCTGAATTAAGGGCCCTGGCTTGTTTCCTCTTCCCCATAGAGTTTTCTCTCCGTCACCCCCATACACACTCCCAGAGGAACAGTGTTCTAGTACCATCCTGCCCAGTTCTCCCACGCACAGTGCCTGCAAACAGGGGCCACACGTAGCAAAATCCTTTTATTTTTTGTTCCCTAGGAAATTGGAGTCATACTAGACTTAATCAAAAGACTTTCAAAAATGCTTGAAGAACAACAAAAAGGGAATAAACAAAACAAATCAAGCATCATAGAGAACACAGTCAGTTCTAGGGCTGACTAACCCCGGGCTGACTAACACTGGTTGCTGAGGAAACAGCTTCCTTTGATGAGGGAAAGCCTGGTTCAACCTGTCCCAGGTCTTCCCAGCCTAGGGCAGTTTCCCTTTTGTGCTTCCATATAACTTTCCTACCAACCAAGGATATGGTTTCTGAGACACGATTTCTCCTTCACTTCCCAAATGGAGAAAGGGATTCTGACCCTTCACGGAGATCCCACCTGCATCCCAGGCAAGCACAGGACTTTGGGGTGATCCCCCATCAAGTGAGACCTCCCCCAAACAGGCCTTTTAACCCTGATATCCCATTATATATTATGGGAATGTTATAATATAACCAATATCCCAAGAAGATACAGTTTGCCCTTGGAACTTTGGGCTAAAAATTTTCTTCCCCAATATATAATGAATAAATGAAAAAAGTTCTAACATATAAATTCTTTCAGGAGCAACCAGACAACAAATTGGCATAGTTTAAAAAGCAAGTGGCGTGGGGAGGGGAGGGAGATCTGGGGGAGATAAGAGGTCAACCGAAGGACTTGTATGCATGCATATAAGTACAACCAATGGACACAAAACTCTGGAGAGGGAGGGCATGCATGGGAGAGGGGGGGGAGCAATAGTAAGATATGTAAACAGATAATAATTTAATTAAAAAAATTTTTAAAAATAAAAATGTAAAAAAAAATTAAAAAAAAATTAAATCATTAAAAAGCAAGTGGAAACCGAGAGGGAAAAAAAATTGAACTTTCTAGGTCAGGATAGCACAGCATAGTGTGGCCAATCAAATTTGGATGGTACCATTTCCTATTTTTTCAAGTAACAGGAGAAAATTAGAAAGAGTTAGGGTTTAAAGGGCACTAAGGGGAAAACTTTCTAGACATATGGATATAATGAAGTAAAATGCTATGGTGTGGATGAATATGCTATAAAACAGGAATGAATAAATGAAATGCACTTTTATATAATGTTGAACAATAAATAGGTTTTGCATTTACAGTTTTGTACTTAATATTTTTTTCTTGTAGGATGTGGATTAAAGAAAACTTGTAAATTGTGCATACAAGATAGAAATGTAAGTTACCTTTCAATGAGGAAATTGTCTTAGGAATGTTATAAAGTCACATAATTTAGAGCTGCATTCTAAAAGATATGGTAAACTTTGTTTTACATGATTTATATAATATATTTCTATAATATATTATGATGTATTTCTGGTTTCACATCCTTCTCCAAGGATCTAGAAATAAACAAGAAATAATTTAGTATAAACATGTACTTCCTTCTAGATGCTTCAAAAACAAAGTGTTTTGTTTTGTTTTTCATGAAAATAGAAGTGTATTGCCTTTGGGAAGAATTTTTTCTATATCAAGGAAAAGATAAATCCTTTGAGATACAGTGAAAATTCCCTTGCTACTCTATACCTTAGACTAGAAAGGATGATGGAAGCACTGTTCCTTTACTACAATGTAGCTAACGCCCCCTTTACTGATGCTCAGATGTCTGACACCATTATTCTTCCCTTCAGACTTGGAAGAAAGCAGAAATGCCATGAGGTAAATGGTGTTTCAGAGAACTCGGCAGCAACCCTCTCAAAATCATTCTACTCTAACAAGTATTTGGAGAACTGAAAATTAACACCAGAGACACACAAAATCACTAATTAGAAAAGGCACACTCTGGTAATTGCTATCCGTCATGGTGATCTGAATGGACCAACCTGTGCCCCTACTTATCCTTATATAGGCAATTCCTCTGCTTTATGAGGCCTTGGGCTCAGGGCTCTTAGACATTTCCACCCAATTCCTGCCACAATTGGATGTGCTTGCCATACTTGGCGATGGCCCAGTCACACTGGGTCCTGCCGCGTCCTGACTTCCTCAGCTCTGTGCATTAGGTTTTCACTTCCATGGCCACCCTCTGAGTCTGTGTGGCCTGCAATGGCTCTTGCATGCTTATTACCTTACACTGCACATACTGGTTTATAACCCCTTCCAGACCCATCTTAGCAGATCTTATTTCATGCATGCCCTCTCCTCCAAAATGGATTATTCTGAAGCAGATAATGATATGGATACCATAACATTTTATTTGCAAATCAGACTCTCTTTCTGTATGGGAAATAATACAATAGTTAAATAATAATACAAGAATATAGGAATAAACTCTATTCCTCATATTCACCACTATAAACCTACAATACTTTTGCCCCACCCTGAGTTATATATAGTATACCAACTCCTTTTTATTCCCTCAAATATTCCAGTTTGAATGATAAATTATATGCTTATCCTTCTTAACTATAAGGGAATCTTCCTCAGATTCTATTAGGAACATTTTCTTATAATTTAACAGTATGTGACTAGTCTTCCTAGAGTTAGAAGATATTCTTACCAAAAACAAATCTACTAAAAGCAACTTAGTTACAGTACTACCCCCAGCACACAACTCATAAACTCAGCATATGAAAGGCATTATATTTTTGTTGTTATCTTCTCTTTCATTAGACATAAAAGCTAAGAAACATTGTGAACTTTAAGCTTTTGTCGTTCAGAATCATTATGTGTCATTGGAATGATAGATTTCAATTATGATATCACAATGATGAGACATGTCATGTCATTTTTTTTCTTCTGCTAATGACAGTTTAAAGGCTGAGCTTTAAAATTGACTTACAAAATGAATTAGAGTAGATTATAAGTTTTCTCCATAATCACTTTTCTCATTCATTGCATCTTGATATGAATTATTGGTTGGGACAGAAAGAAATAAAGTTACAACAAGCCAAGTGGGTTTTTGACTCTCCCATAGCACAGTTCATAGGAAATTAATATTACTCACATGTTTGTGAAATACACTTTTAAATGTCATACCTCAAACCCCATGAAGAAGGCAACTGGAAAGTGTGTGTGTGTGTGTGTGTGTGTGTGTGTGTGTGTGTAAGGGAGAGTGGATAGGATCATGGATTCAAATCTGGATATGCCACTGACCGTGTGGAGGACCTCTCAGGAGGCTCTCAGCTAAAAGAAAATGCAGAGGGTTATTCTCCAAGGCAACACCTTAATTGCTCTTGGCATAACCATTCTTCCGGAGCCTGATATTCCTGGAGAAGTTTAAGGCCATCTGTCAGGTTTCTCATTTTTCTTCTGAACCAATTCAGTGTCTTTTCTTGTACACTTATTTCTCCCCTTGGGAAGTCGCTTCACATTCCCAAGGCTACTCCCAAGTCTTTACCTCCATGCATATACCATACTCGGGAGCACACTCACAAATGCAGGACCTTCTTCCCTTCCTTGTTCCCTAAATGATAAATTCAGTCTATGTCTCTGAACTGGCTCCTTGCTTATCAGTTCAGACGAAATGGAAAAAACATACACAAAACTGAAACTTCTAATTTCTTTCTAGCAGGTAAAGTCCTTCTGCTGTCTGTGCTTCCTTAACCCCAGGATTTAATGACGAGCAACCGATTTAGAGCTCACCAAAGACTCTCCATAACCAAATGCACTGACCTTTCAACTTAGTCACTCCTTCTGGAAACTTCCTCCTTTCTTGATGACCTGAACTTTACACATTACCTTCTCTGCCTCTTTCCTCCCCTCTCCACTTCCTTCACCTGCTCCTCTTCCTCATCATTCCTCACACTCCAAGGCAATTTTTTAATACTATGTTCTCACCCTTGTGCTGTCTCACCTACTGCCATGACCTCTGCTAGTACCTGCACGTAAAGAAATCCCCAGTTTATATTCTTAGACCTAATAGTCCCTGGACCTTAGGGTGACATAGTTCTTCCTTCTTTTCTTTTTAAAAATATATTGTTATTGTTTTCAGAGAGGAGGGAAGAGGGGGAGAGAGATAGAAACATGAATGATGAGAGAGAATCATTGATCAGCTGCCTCCTGCATGCCCCCTACTGAGTATGAGCCCACAACCCTGGGCATGTGCCTTGACTTGGAATTGAACTTCAACCTCCTGGTTCATAGGTTGACACTCGATCACTGAGCCACACCAGTTGGATCTGATACAGTTCTTGATTAACATTTCTTCATCATCTCAAGTTCAAATTTTCTAAAATGAAATTTCTAATTTTTCTTCCCCAAAGAAAATTTGCTCTTACTTTTTCTTTCTTGCTCTTACTTTTTCTTTCTCTGCAATTCACAAAGTCCTATCAGTCCTTCCATTTTTGTCTTTCAACTGGAACAATCTTAGATGTCTTAGGCTTCTATCCCTCCTGATGCTTTATTCATTATCATAAACTAGCACTTTCATTGAGTCACCTATTAACTCAGAACAATTCAGCTGACTCCTTATTAAAATATAGACTCCATAGTCAGGTAATCCAACTCCATCACAATCAGAGAAATTTACCTTCCAAATAATTGCACAAAGGTCCACCTCATCAGATTTCAGCCCTGCCATGTAGACACCTGTTCTCTCATTCTGCTGTGGCTGTGTATCTAAGGCCTAGTCTTTCTTATACTGATTTCACCTAATCCTCAAGACTCAGACCAAAATTTGCCAATTCCCTGAAAAAAATCTAAGCTAGTCATGCCAACTAGAAGTGAATACTTTCTCTTATAAACTTCTATTACATTTATATCTGTTCCACCCACCTCCATTCCCACCCCCTTTTATTGTTTTGTTAATCCTCACTTGAGGATATTTTTCCATTGAAAATTTTTCAGAAAGAACAGAAGGGAGAGGGAGAGACAGAGAGAAACATTGATGTGAGAGGGACACATCTGTTGGTTGCCTCCTGCATGCACCCCAACCAGGGCCAGGGAACCTGCAACCGAAGTATTGTGCCTTTGACCAGAATCAAACCTGGGACCTTTCAGGCCACAGGCTGAGGCTCTATCCATTGAGCCAAATCGGCTAAGGCTTTTCCACTCCCTTTGAAATTACAATGTCCTTTTACTTAGAGATCTGTTTTTTGTAGAGTATACATACTGCACCTGCCAAAGAAAGCACAAGCAGCGCTCTCTACATCTGTGTAACCTCAGCTGTGTCTGGCATTTGCCTATAAATAATGAGTGAGTGCTCATTTGATCCTTTCAATGTCCACTACTCTAAAATCCCCCTTTGCACAATAACACTTATGTACTATTTTTGCAGTATATTAAACCTCTGTTTATACATTGTTATCAAACCACTAAACATTATATGTATCTCCCCCTTTTTTTCTCATTTTGTTCATTTTAATATTTGCTTATAAAAATATCAATCTTGATGTCTCTTTAAGCTTATTAAAAGAGTTCTACCTTAGAAGAAATATTCTAGTTCCCCATGGAACATCTTAGCTATCATTCTAACTGTGTTTTAGCTAACTGCTGAGGTGCCAGTCTGAAGAATCTGAGGTCAGCATGACTTTACATTGATTTGGACAGTCTTCCTAAACTACAAGAGAACAATCCATGTAATTTGTCTTGCATTATGAATTACCACTTTACGGATGTTGAATATATTATACTGTTCCTCTGAGTAATGTGAAGTTTGATTCTTTGAAGACTTTTTAGATTTAGTTAAGATATTAGTCAAATCTTTTTTTGTGGTGACAGAACCCAACTCAAATAAACTTAATAAAAAGGAGAATTTTTGACTCACAAAATTGGGAAGCCCAGGAGTGGCCTTGGCTTCATACAGCTGAATCCCAAAGGAGGGTGTTTCCACTTCCTTTCTTTCTTTTCTTCTCCCAGTTCTGCCTTCCTCTGTGGATCGAGCTATTTTCTTCTGTGGCAAATGGACATTCTTCACAAAGCTGGAGAGGAGGCCTCTCCCAGCAGGTCCCTCCCAATGTCTGTAAACAACTCCAGAGAAGGTTCTGACTGGCCCGATTTGGGTCTTATGTCCAGTCCACCACTGGTCACTGGGCCCTTGAGATGGGCCACTCCGAGTGCCACCACTTGTATCTGATGATTCGACAGTAGCAAGTGGTAGGCAAAGCTGTCTGACAGCTGCAGAGCCACGTGGAGTTGGGGGAAGAGGTCCACAAAGGTGAGAGGGTGCTAAACGAAGGAAGATGGCCACACAAGCTGGGCAGACAGAGAATAAAAAATAAACGACCTTAATCAATCTACTCTGTTTTACCCTTTGACCTTTCAGGACACGTACATTTTATTGTCCCCATTCCTACATGAAAAAAAAAAAAATGCCCCTGCAAAATAATGCAACTGGCCTTCAACTAAAATTGTATTTACCCAAAGTCATTGTCAGTTATTGCCTCCTCTTCCCCCTCCCCCGCCCCCACTTCAGCTGTGAGATTGGGAACTCAGAGAGAGAGGTGCAGAATGTGCCGCCGTTCTGCGCAGGTTCCCTGGGCAAGCAGCGAGTCACCGGTCTGGCTGCCCAGGCTTACCCAGTGAAGGAGCTCTCTTTCCCGTCGATTCCTGAGCCCCCACAGAGAAAAGCACAGGGAAGAAGCTCTCTTCCCAGCACTGTGCTGCTTTAGAAGCTCACCTGTTGTGACCCTGCTTACTGGGGCTTGGGAACTAGCTCAGTGCTGAGTAAGCACAGGCTCCTCTCTGATAGGTTCAGGATTCTTTTCTTTCTTTCTTTCTTTCTTTCTTTCTTTCTTTCTTTCTTTCTTTCTTTCTTTCTTTCTTTCTTTCTTTCTTTCTTTCTTTCTTTCTCTCTCTCTCTCTCTCTCTCTCTCTCTCTCTCTCTCTCTCTCTCTCTCTCTCTTTCTCTCTCTCTCTCTCTCTCTCTTTCTTTCTTTTTGACAATCCATATCCCTTAAAATCATGCTAGATGGAAAACAGAACTTAATAACCTGCTAGATGGCATGGGCTTCCAGAAACTCTAAGAACCAAAGCAGGAAATCTCTAGTTCTTTCCAGCCTCTGTTGGTTCAACGAGGCCTTGACTTTGCAGTTCCTGTCTTTACACAACAGGCAAAAGGAAAGGACCCATTCAGACTAGCTGGCTTCCACCTCAGACTGGCCTAAATGGCTTTATTTGACCTTTGGTCTTGGTTTGAATGAAACAAAAACTGGCCTGTGAATACCTCCTGCTCTCAGGCTGTGTCTAAATGTTAGTTCTTTTCATTGAGGTGCTGGTCTCAGGATGTGCAGCCAGAGTGACTGAGAAGATCTGGAATCTCTTATAGGATTGGTTACCAGCATAGAACCACACTGACTAGATTACAACTCCAGGTTCCTTATTTACTAGGCATATGACCTTGTGTAAGTCATTTGTGTCTTATTGTACTCAAATATAAAGTGGGCATAATGGTACCTAATTCACAGGGTTGTCATGAGGATGAGGTAATAACATAAAAAGGACTTAGAATAGTGACTGTCATCTGATAAGCCCTATGTAAGTAACTGATTTTTACTACTCTGTCCTGATTTTTTTTTTTTTTTTTTTTTTTTTTTTTTTTTTTTTTTTTACTTATCCATCCAGGTTCTAGACTTATCTCCCACAATGGTTTCCACCTTTGTACCTTGATTTTGCTTACTTCAACAAGGGACTTAGAAGTCAGTTTTCCTATTTCCCTATAATTAGCTGACCACCAAATACAGTGTTTTTGGTGCAGTGGAAAAAATGTTTGCAAAACATTTTGTTTTTCATATATGGGGTGTCAGTTAAGTTCAGCATTTTGGTTAAGCTGTAAAGATAAGTTGTCACTATTTGAATTTTTATGTACTTCTAAAAATTGATCTGCAAGTGCTAGTGATTTGTTACACTTGAAGGATTAGAAATTATCTTATTTGCTTTATTCCCTTACCATACCAGTTGTTAAATACTTAAAAGTTCATCTCTACTCTGGTGTACAATAATCTGTGAGCAGAAAGAGGGAGGGGAATGAGGCGGGGTTGAAGGAATGAGACAGGGTTGAAGGAATGAGACAGCCACCACCAGGCCCACATGTAACAAGGAACGAGTGGGTGCTGCCAATAAGGGGAATGGAAAACAGTGTCAGGGAGAGAGAGAGAAACAAATCCTATCTACTGGAGTCATTATCACTTCATGAAGCAATGGCTCAGGTTTGATTTCCTAAACACAGAGCCTGAGAAAAGGATTCAGGTACATGTTATTTCTTCAGCAACTGCTCTTCAGCTACAATTGATGAAAGAGAAAAGAATTCAGGGCAGGTAAGGGACAAGAACCAAGCAAAGATGTGGCCTCAGCTAAAGTCTACCCTTGGCCTGAACCACAGGCAGCCCTGGGGTAAAAAAGAATCAAGTAGCAGAATTATCCCTGCCTTTAGACAAAGATGCCCACTGTTTTGGACCCTACATATGAGTCAGTTATGGGGGAAATTACCTCAAGGGCAAGATAATCCTATCCACTGAGGACAACCCAAGAAGAAGGTCAGCTTGGGCCACTTGCAGCCAGCACTCATTGCAGCTGGGATTGGGTAAATGGGCCTGGTATGGAGGATCTGGGCAGACTACCAACAGCATGAATAATTTTATATAGTAATTTTATATAATAAAATGATAATATGCAAATTGACCAAACAGCAGGATGACTGCAATGCCTGCAGCCCCTCACCCCGGCTGGCCCTGCCCCTGAGCGCGCACCCCCCCCCCCCAAATTGGGGCTGGGGCCGACCAGCAAACCGCCTGTGGCCCCTTGCCCCAGCCAGTTCGCCCCATCAGGGGCAGTCTGGCTGGACCACACCAGTGCACCAGGCCTCTAGTAATAAAATAATGATAATGATGGCTGTTACTTATTGAATATTTATTGAACTAGCACTATATCTTACTGGAATTGGGATTATTATTCTGGAACACTGCTTTTATTTTTTTTTTATTTCTTTCCAAATACAGTGTGTTTGGTGCAGTGGAGAAAATATTTGCAAACCGTTTTGTATTTCACATATGGGGTGTCACATAAGTTCGGTACTTTGGTTAAACTGTAAAGGTAAGTTGTTGCTATTTGAATTTTTATGTACTTATAAAAATTGACCTGCAAGTACTAGTGGATTTGTTATACTTGAAGGATTAGAAATTATCTTATTTGCTTTATTGAAGTAATAGCAAGTCTGTTCATTAGTGTTTCCCCTAAGACTGGATGATACTAGTTCTTTCCAGATTCTGTTGGTTCAACTAGGTCAACATTCATTCTGATTGGTGGGTGGGTCCCTTACCATACTGGTTGTTAAATGCTTTAAAATTCATCTCTACTCTGGTGTACAATGACCATAACCAGAGAAAGGAGGACTGTATTCTTAGGTTGTTTCAGGAACTCCAGGAATTTCTTTTTTTTTTTTTTTTTTTTTTAAATATATTTTTTTTATTTTTATTGATTTTGTACAGAGAGGAAGGGAGAGAGATAGAGAGCCAGAAACATCGATGAGAGAGAGTCATCGACCAGCTGCCTCCTGCACACCCCCCACCGGGGACGCGCCCGCAACCAAGGTACATGCCCTTGACCGGAATCGAACCCGGGACCTTTCAGTCCCAAGCCGACGCTCTATCCATTGAGCCAAACCGGTCTCGGCGAGGAACTCCAGGAATTTCTTATAAGCTAGTACTAGGATGAGGACATATTGATTCCCATAGCATAACTATAACTTATATTTCCTCAGGGAATGTATTTTGTACTGAGAATTGCCGTTTAGAACAGTGACCCCCTAGGACTGAACAAATCCCAATCATCAAAGAATCTTCAAATTACATGTAACATGTTATATTTTTGGTTTGGCATATGGTAGCTATCAAAGCAGGGAAATGTATTAGAACCTTTAAAGAGTTTTTCAAAAGCGTTAAAACAAAAGCTTTCCAAGGGAACCCTGACTATATAAGAAAACCCTTCCAGAGCAACCAGTTGTCTATGTCTTTTTCTTAATTGAAGTGAAAAAATATAAAATTTGCTCTCAAGTCCCTATTTTCTTCAGGTATTATTAGGTCTATTTAAATCATAATTGAAGCAAAGAGCTTATAAACAAGTAAAACTTCATACATTTACTATGAGTGGAAACCTTCATCTCCTATTTCATGTTCTGCCCTTCTAGTTTCACATAGCATGGGGTGTAGTGTGTGTGGGGGGGAGATAGTTTACAAATGCTGGAAATCTGTTTCCCAATGAGCATTTGTTGTCTTTTTGATAAGAAACTCCTAAAATTCAAACAACAAAGCATCCCCAGCTATCTCTATAAAAACCTGAAGGGGAAGGTAGCCAATGGCCTAATAGTGTACCAATTTGAAGATAATGTTACCTCCTCTTAGCAACCCAGATTATTTTTAAATGTTAGTGACTGTTGTGTTAATGGTAATTTGATTGGAATATGTGATGTATGTTACTGTATTTTCAGAAAGAGTTGAATTTGTACTTAATCAAACTGTGTGAAATAGGATGAAAATAAGAGAAATTATTAATCTTCTGTTAACTTAAAATGTATTTCTTTTTGTACATTTCAGTTGACATGTTTGGATTCCTGATGCTTCTGCTCATTGTAATAATAATTATAATATTCATTTGCTATTGCTGCATCTTTCACTATTACCTGCAGGAGTATGTTCATTTCATCCTTAGTAAGAATGCACTTGGGGATAATATCATTTAAGAAAATACTAAGCTAGTTATCAGAAATGTTTTACCTTTTTAATGTAATAAAAGTAATATATCCAGATGATAAGGAAAGAAGTATAGAATCTTATAAAATGAAAAATTTTAATTTCTCACCCTCTCCTCTACCTGCGATACCTCCTCCCCGGAAGTAATTTTTTAGTATGATTTTATTTGTAGTTCTTTTACTCACCTCTATATATTTGAACAATATGGTTACAACCCCTCTTCATGATTTATTAACTTTAGATGTTTTCTATTGACTCCTCATCATGAAAGCTGAGAAACTTATCTTGCATTTTCTGTATTTGTTCTTTTTTTTTTTTTTTTTTTTTGCTGTTATTGGATATTATCATTTTATTTTTGAATTTTAATTATTAGCTCTTAAGATTACTAATCTTTCTTCTGTTGGTATCTTTTTAACTTTGAGTAATATAATCTCTGTTTTTATACTTCTCCCATTAAGATAAGGAAATTTGGACCCTATATGTCTTATTTATCTAAATTCTATCATCTAAACTCTATAAACTCTCAATTATTTGATCTTTTCAAGTATATATTTATATTTATTCTGTAACTATATTTATAGTTAAAATGATTATAGTTTGAATCTAAAAATTTTAATTGAATAAAGATAAGAGAACAAAAAAATCAATAAAATATGTAAAAATAAATAAATAAATAAAAAATAAAAAAGAGAACATATTATGATTATATAAATATTATAAAGAACCAAAATGGAAATATGAAATGTTTTTCTGTCACTATCCCAGATTGTTTGAAAGAGAAGTATCTCGTGTCAAGGTCAGATAGATTCTCTTTGCTTCCTTTCCATTTCTCATATCCTGATACATTTCAGCTTGCTTCATGTTTACATTGTGACTTTCTTATACAGCCTTTGCATCTTCTAGAGTTTCAATCATCTTCAGTATTTCTTGTCAGGAATGACACATGTGTCTTTATCCCATCACTGTGATTACTCATCTTACTATTTGGTAAATATTTATTTTCTTCTTAAGACATTCTTCTAAAAGCTCTGACTTCCTAATTTATAAAACTTAGTTTATTTTCAGTGCTGTACTGAATTAGATGAAATTTTTGACAACATCCTCTTTATAGGATTGATCCCCCCCCCTTTTACTGAAGTACATCCTCAAGTAATTTTTTCAAAAGGAGTTCACAGAAACATTGAAAGTATTTCCATAGTCCACACATGTCAAGAAATTTGTTTTTCTCCATTATCCTTCAGCCCAGCATGGTATTATTTTCTTTCTACTGATTGTACACCTTTTCCAAGAAGGACCCATAGATAAGATGGATACATGTAAATAGGCCCACTTGTAAGTAAAGTGTACCTCCTTCCCTTCCACTCTCTCTCTTAAAAAGAAGAAGAAAAACATCAATGGAAAAAATATCCTCAAGTGAGGATAAATAACAAAACAAAAACAACAAAAAAACCAAAAAAAAAACAAAAAAAAAAACACCCCCCACAAATTAACAAGATAAGGATTGGCCAAATATTTTACTTGCTTACTTAAGACTTCTATTTTGTATAATTTTTTTTCTGGCTTTGAGCCTTATATCCCTTTTTTATTAACATATAAAAATGAAAGATAACTTCTATTCTTTGCTTCCAGAATATAAATATATTCAGAAGGAAGAACTTATAGAATATATTACATGTGTGGTAAGAGGCTGTGGCAAACAATTTTTTTTCTTTTATATATATATTTTCCAAATCCTGGTGTTTTATATAGGTAATCACTTTTTTTTGTATAGTGCCTATGAGTAATGTGGCAAATTATACCCATAACAGATTGGAGTCCTGAGCACATATCCACCACTGAGACTTCTTTTATCTGCAGTTTAAAAGGAAACCCTACAGTGCAATATACAGACAATGTATTATAGAATTGTGCACTTGAAACCTACATAATTTAGGAAGCAATGTTAACCCAATATATTTAATAGAAAGCAAGAAAGAAAACCAGGGGAAGGGGTGGGGGAATAAATCCCTGAAATCTTTTTGCAAATATGGCCCAACAATTGTACTCAGTTCTGGTTTCACCCACCATCTCCTCATCTTCAGTTACTTCTAGAGATCTTCTAGACCTCGTTAATTCAATGAGCGCTGTATTCTGTTAGAGAAAGTTGTTCTACTAAGGGTTTATTTCATTTCATGATCCAATTGCAATTCAAGATTGGGTTCCAGAAACACCCATCTTTCATTTAAAAACTACCCTTGAGTTGAAACCAGTTTGGCTTGGTGGATAGAGAGTGTAGGCCTGTGGACTGAAGGGTCCCAGGTTTGATTCTGGTCAAGGGTATGTATCTTGGTTGCCGGCACATCCCCAGTAGGGGGTGTGCAAGAGGCAGCTGAATTAATGTTTCTCTCTCATCGATGTTTCTGGCTCTTTACTCCCTCTCCCTCCCTCTCTGTGGAAAATCAATAAAAAATATATATATACATATTTTTTTAATTTAAAATGTTAGAGAATATAAATGTTTACCTGTTCATCTACTCAGTTCCTCCTTAACTCTCCTCTGTTTTAGCAAATGTTTATTGAGAGCGATTAGGCCATGGGCAATGTTGTTGTCACTAGGGATATAATTGTAAACAAGAAAGACCAAATTCTTATCTTCATGGAGTTTATATCCTACTAAGTAGCATAGATAAGAAATAAGCAATTGTTCATTCTGTTATTAACTTATTGACATTTTTAATGATAGTTCTATTTATTTTAATTGAGCTGTTCATACTCAAACATTTCAATTCTTCTGGTGGATAAATAAAAGAAGAACTTTAGTAGAGGATTGGTAATTTGAAAATTGCATAAGTTTAGTCTTCTAATGAAATAAAATAATTCCAATTATAGCCTTAAGTATTCAGAAAATAAACCTGACTAATTCTCAATTTACTATCATTTTTAACAGAGCTATTAGGAGACCCCAGGGTTTCAGTTTTCAACCGGGATATGGTGGCAAGTATTTTAATTTATTTGATGTGATGCCCAGACTCCTGGTAACTCACAGCTGCAAGTCTTTCCCTCACATAGTCCAGGATCAACATTAAAGTATGAGTAGAAAACACGACAGCTGATTTCATTGTTCTCATTTCTAACACACATTCTTGTAACTTCAATAGTCTAGGATGGGTAAAACCACAGTATTGATAGAGAAGAATTAAAACTTCCAACCCAAACTGGATAGGGATAGCCTTCCCAGTTCCCCCCAACTCCCACTCCACAAAAGCAACTCAACAGAAGGTGACCTTTGCCTTAAGGAATCCTTGTAGGCTTCTCTCAAATTAATTCATTTCATCTTACCTTCGTTGCCTGATCTTCTATCCACCCTTCTCAACTTGATTCTTTACTCTTTCCCTTATTTATAAGGCACCCAGGGCCTCAGTCTTGGCTTTTTTCTGCTCATCACTCACAGCTCCTGGCAAGTCCCTTCCACTCCCCTGCCCAGGCCCAGACCCTGGAGCCACAACTGAAGTCAGAACCAGAGCCCCCCTTTTCACCTGGGTAATTGGGCCACAAAAGAAATGTAGATCAGAATATGAGTGAGAAAAGGATACTGCAAGGCCTTTTATAATTACCATTAAAAATAACTTTGGAGGAACATCCAGATTATTGCGCTGCTCTGGGCCTCCGGGACAGAATAGTGAATCTGAATAAGAAGCAGCAGCAACCTCACAGGGGCAAGGATGAGATGTCCAGCACATACACTCCATTGCCAACTTTTAGGTCTTGTGTAGAAATTGTTTTGGTGGTAACGGTGCGGAACTGTGCCAAAAGCTACTTGAGGAAGGGGCTGATGTGCTTCCTGGGATTGAAATCAAAGCCGAGGACTGCAGAGAATGCAGTTGCCTGGCCATTCTTCTCCCTCCATGTTCAACTCCACAGCAGATTGGGCTGGAGAAATCTCAGGAGAGCACGAGGTTAGGTAATTACTTAGTTTAGGTAGGAACAATTATAAACAACCATGAACAATTAGTTATACTAGCCTCATTACAGGGAATAAAATGTACTACTATTCCCAAGCCAGGATGATTTTCTGCCCACGAGAACCATCTCCAAGTTCAAGGGGGAATGGGTGGAGAGAGCTTCGTGAGCGTCCTTTATACTTACAGATTGGAAGGTTAGCCCAGCTGGCATGGCTCAGTGGTCAAGTGTTGACCTGTGAACCAGGGGGTCAGGGTTTGATTCCTAGTCAGGACACATACCCAGATTGCCAACTTGATCCCCAGTGAGGGGTGTGCAGGAGGCAGCTGATGAATGATTTTCTTTCATCATGGATGTCTCTGAAATAAATAAAAATATGTTTTTTAAAATTTGGTAATTAACCTATCTGACGAGTGTTTATTCACTTTAGACTTATGGAATAGAAAACTATGGAATCTTAAAAGTGTTGTACGCAGTGTGTTATTTGACCATAATGCTCCTTGCTCACAGTGTTAGCTCCCAGGAGTGGAGGTAATATCACCCCTCTTAGTTCTTGGTACTTGGGCCAAACTTCTCTAGAACTGAATTTAGAAGATGAATTGCTGCTTAAGGAGCCTTTGGGTATCCCCAGGTTTTCTCCCTCTGGAAACTAGTCTTGTGCCACCACAAAAGATTTGACCTTTTCCTCTAGTCAAATTTATACCAAGGTTAGTAAATACCTTAAGTCACTTGAGCTCTAAATAGTAAAACAGCAGTAACATTAAAATATCAGAATACAAGTCATATCATTGATGCATATTTTGTGATTAGCATTTTAAGTTATTAGGTGAGTCATCGTTAACTTTCCTTAGAAATATTTTGAAAAGTTAAATTGATTTTCTCTTTTTATACCAGGTGAGGCATAAATAACTGAAAAGATAGATCTTCCAGAGAGAGAAGCAGAAAGTTTCTATAATGGTAAGATTTCAAATGATATTGCATGAGTTTTCTACATGCCCTTCCTTTCCTCCTATTAAGCAACTTTTTAGAAATATAATCATAATGATTAAGAAAGTAAGTGGAAATCAAATCTGTAAAATGTGAACAAGTTTTCAATGCCTGAAACCATGTAATAGAAGGCAGCAGAAAATGGAGATATAACAGCTCCTCAGCCAGGCTGCCTTTGCTTTTTATTTTTATTTTATTTTTTTAAAATATATTTTATTGATTTTTTACAGAGAGGAAAGGAGAGGGATATAGAATTAGAAACATCGACTCAGCTGCCTCTTGCATTCTCCCTACTGGGGATGTGCCTGCAACCAAGGTACATGCCCTTGATAGGAATTGAACCTGGGACCTTTCAGGCCTCAGGCCGATGCTCTATCCACTGAGCCAAACTGGTTTGGGCTTTGCTTTTTATTTTTAATTTTTTATTTTATTTATTGTCTTTACATTTAAATCTTTATTGTTGGAAATATTACATATGTGTCCCCACCCC